GGGAGGTGCATCTTCATCATCTTCATCATCTAGCATGCAAGAAGTGTAAATAGAGGACAGTGAAGGAGACACTGAGGAGGACAGTGAGGAAGACTGCACTTATTAACACCACGCTTCATGTGGGGTGAGTACCAAACGCTGTCTCCTGGTACTCATCTGAGTAACTCACTCAAAAAGTTATGTGCACACCTGACTATATGTTTGTAGGTCGACCCCAAGGTCAGCTTCCTCAACAAGAACCAATGGGATTTTTCCATTGGGTTTCAGAATATTGCAGAAAATAAGATGTGCATTATACTTATAAGTTTGAAATGCAATGGCCAGAAGTAAATAGCTAACGTTAGGCTATACACCAACTACATTACGTTAGCATGGCTGCGCATCACTTACGCTAAGCTAAAGGCGGCTAATTTCCGGCTTGATTACGGTATACATTCTCTTTCAATCACTTGTTAGCAACCACCTTTACACATAAATCTTCACCAGTAGGGTATTTATTCAATTATGTTGTAGAACAACACTTGAAAATCTGTACATTTGTGTTATCTGCAGTCCCTATTTTCAGAATCTAACCAGAAACTCATTTAAAAAACATTGACCTAACCCCGAAGGTGCTAAAATGCTAACTCATTTCCTGGTTAAGGACTCATTCCTGGAGTATTATATTGCGATCACTGATTCAAGACAAACTTGTGGATGAGTTGTGATGTCTGTCAACAAACAGGACAAAGTCCCGCCCTCGCCGCTCAGCTGTCAGTCAGGCGTGTGGGCGGGTCCTGATGGAGCGGAGGCTGGTTGTGTAATCCAATGATCCTGGGGTGACATTTGGCCTCAGCGACCACAGCCGCAGCTTCTGAGGGGAAAAATCAAATCAATGCTGCATTGACTGTCAGAGCGCGATGGAAACCTAATTAAAGGCCCTGCAGGCACAACTGGTCATTTTATGCAGCCAAGCACAGCGCTCTCAAATCAAGCCAGTAATATGTACCATTGCTTTACTCTGTGCACTGAGGGGGGGGGGGGGGGGGTCTGTGGGCCTCCCTGACCAGCATAGTGTCAGCATTCAATATGCTGCAGACAACATGGTATTTCATCATTGTCATATTAGCATACACAACTGCATTCTGGTATACTGAGATAATTCATATACTGTGGAAAAGTCAATATAACTGATCTACAATGCAAAGCGTGGAGATTGCAGAATAAATCTTCTGCTTTGAGTGAAAAGTTAAAAATAATAGTACTTAATTAAATGCAGCATTAGGGACATATAGTTTGGCTTTGTTGTAAAAGTGTAAAAGTAGAATAAAATGATTTGCCTCTATTTTGATTCTGCACTCTATCATTAGTTTATATTGACACAGGATCAAAGGACTATGTGATTTAACATTGGATTGAAACCTGTTATGGCTCGTATTTCATACTACAACTGTCAATAAAAACAACATGTTAAATATTTCAACATTATATTTCAGAAAATCTTTTGTTTTGGTTATCGGACCATAATTAAATATAATAATTGAAACAAATAAAAACATTTAAAAAATGTTGTATTAAGGGAGATTTGCATGTAAAAACCTCTTAGTTATAGTTATTAAGCTAAACAACTGTGTCTTACAGCTCTACTGATAGAATTCCTTAACCTAGTAAAGGCCTTAACCTAAAGAAGTGTTGAGTTAGGGGCAAATGCCTCACTGTGACACCCAGGTCTCCCAGCAGATAACCAACACCACTTCCAGTCCGACATCAGGTCTGCTGCCTGATTCTGTTCCCCTGGGATGAACGCTTCAGATGTTTGTGGGACCACAGCAGCCGGGCCGAGCGTTTTATCAACGCTTGATGTAAGCTGCTGCCATCATGCCATCTCTTACTGAAACATCTGTTTGCCACACAGCGACAGCTCCAGACAGTTTATGTGGAGGGACCATAGGTTTCTTTTTTCTGATTGTTTTCATGTGGAGCAGTCCCAAGGGGAAAACCATGAGAAGAACCATGAGAAGGCGCAGCCCCCCCTCTGAGGAGCACAAAACATGTTCTGATTAACATTTCCATTCTGGCAGAGCACAGCTTTAGCCTCTGCTCCTAGTACTAGACTCCTGGTACTAAGATGGGTTAAAAGCAGAGGCCAAATGTCACTGTGTGTGCTGTGTGACCATTACAGTGGGGTTCATCCCTCCCAATCTATTCTATTCTATTCTAGTGGCAGAATCCAGGTAAATTAGAGACTGGATAGTAGGCGGTGCTGAAAGGTTCTGAACGAATGTCACCGTGTGGAGTTCAGGTCTACTTTAAGGGGTCCAAAACACTACAGGTGGTCCAGGTTACCTCCAGGTATTTAGTTGTTCTGGTACACTCCGGAAAGAGAAGCAGAGGAATTGTTCTGTGTCTGATTGTTCCATGTAAAAAGACATCTTACTCTTCAGTACATGTCTGATCATTATTTCATGACATTATATTACATGGCATTTGGCTAACAATTTGATCCAAAGTGACTTACATACACCTGAATACCGTAGACATGCCTACGGGAGGAATTTGGGGTTAAGTCTCCTGCCCATGGACACTTTGACAAGGCCTGCAGAAAGGCCCTCGATGTACGTGGGCGATCTCAGTTTTCTAGGGTTGGAAAACCCTTTCTTCAAATCTTAACATGAACCCATCAGCAACAACTCTTAGAGGGGGACGCCGATACGAAGTCAACTAAAAGATGCTGAGTAGAGTTGAGAGGAGATTTGTGGATGAGTCTCTGTTGGTCCATCACTACAAGTGACACCTAGTCATTTGACCTGTTTTACAAAAGTATTGAGTGCTGCAGCTGAACCTACAAAGGAACACAAAGGTAATATCCTAGTCCTCTTGTGATCTTAATGTCAGATCATTTTTATTTTATTTGATCACATGAACACTTTAACAATGTCCCTACACATACTTTGTTGGATTAAATCAACATAGCATGGAGGCCAGGCAGTCATATAGCATATATATACACATCTACATTTTGGACCGTGTGCAGAGTAGCCGGAAGGATCTGTTCCATTATAAAAACACATTAAATAAATGGTGAGGCCTCCCGGTTGACTCAGTTTCATTTGTATGTGGAGTGCAGGCCCTGTGAGGAACACCAGCCATAAACATCTGTCTGTCAGAGAGGATATTGATGGCACTGGTTGGAGTTGGCACTGCTGGCATGGGAGAGCGGTGGGGGGTAGGGGACATTGTCCCGTCAGGAGCCGATCAATGGTCACATCCTGTGAACCCTGCATGTAACACGGGAGAGCGCTCACAGCACCCAGCCAGCATACGCAGGAGACAAAGACCAGCAGAGCAGAGGGATGTGGACTGGAGTCTGGGACCGCGACAAGAGGAACACCAAACACCTCCATGGGGTAGCCATACAGACACACGCAATTCCTGGGATGCTATTATAAACATGATGACGTGCACCAGGAGGCCGAGAGGGAACCCATACCACTGATATGTAAGTGCTGCTGAAGTCAATTCATTAATAGAGTCGTTTGATGTAAAGTAATGCAAGACATTGGTCAGTAAACATCATGTCAACAGTTTCTGAGATGGCTCAAATTGGCACCTGTACATTCTTTTTAGTATTAATGTTATTGATGGTACTGGATTATTGACCTGACAGAAAACCGCACTAAGCTCGGTGCATTTCATTTGCACACTCATTGAAGGGTCAATCCACCATGACATCTAACGTGTAAGTTATTTTTAGGGCTGCAGTTACATTTTAAGCTGTGTAAAATGTTTATATCCTCATGTGTTGCAGACGTAATGCATAGACATTGGACACTGGTAATTGCAAGGACATACTTCACATGAGTATGAGTACTCTAATGAATTGATCAAACGTCTTGATCCTATGTTAAAACATGGTGGTTGAAGTTTCAAACACACCTAATCTCAATAAGACAATCTTTGGAGACATGAAGTAACGTTCCATTTGAATGTTGAAACAAACGCTGCAGTTCTACAAACTGGAGTCTAATGTAAACCCTAAATGCAAATCAAACCTTTGCTTGATTATTTCAAATAAAACGCAAATATGTAACCACTGATTCTCAGCAAACGCCATCTTTTGATGCTTCAAAGTCCACATTTCCGTTAAAAGTGATATTTGTTACCATGGTGTTTTATTCCATAACATTGTTGATAGGATATAGTTGTTACAGGCAGTTCATACGTAACACATCGAGTCACAGTGCCAGGCCACACATTGACTTTCTGCTTCTCTTTGGTCTGGGGCTCTTTTTTGCGTAGGCTGTGCGACACATGATTGACAGTTATCTCCTTCAGTCAGAGATCAGCATGAGCCCGGCTCCAGCGGATTGGACGTACACTCCACTTGCTCTCTCATTGGAGCTGCTGTTGTGATGTTTGGAAGTTTCAAGGGGAGCTACATCAACTTCTAAACACTGGTCCAGTATGTATCTCAATATATTCTCAGTGTAAAAGTTTTGATTCTGTTGATATGACCATTTTTTTTATTGTCAACAAATCCCATGTGCACATTCAAACTAACAATTCCTAATGTTTCATTCACAATAAACAGCTGTTTTTTTATTTACTTAGCATTTAAAAAGAAACAATGTATTTGTGAGCTCTTTCAGTCGTCCTCTTTTGAGTTGGAACCAATGAACTTTAGGAATAGTAGTCGTGCATACACAGTTTTACATCTAAAGGAAGTCAAAGGAAATTGGGATAAACTGTCACCTTTTTACATGTCAGATTATCTGACTGCTTCTGTGTCCTGCCCCATTGGATTTGTTTTAGGAGAGGTTGCTATGTCCCAAGATTTCAGTAATCCTTTTAGCAAGTACACCATGAGAGCTGATGGCCCAAGACACAAAAATAAAACTTGTAACCCGTCTTTTTCTCTAGAGTTTCCCCTCAGCCTTGTCAGTAGCTCTGCTTTGATGTGTGTTCTGGTATTGTCTCCACAGTTTGAGGACATGTGGCAGTGAAGAGGTGAGAAGCTGACCATGGGTGACTGGAACCTGCTGGGCAGCATCCTAGAAGAGGTCCACATTCATTCCACCATCGTGGGCAAGATCTGGCTCACCATCCTCTTCATCTTCCGCATGCTGATCCTGGGGGCCGCTGCCGAGGACGTTTGGGACGACGAGCAGTCCGAGTTCGTCTGCAACACGGACCAGCCGGGCTGCAAGGCGGTCTGCTACGACCGGGCCTTCCCCATCTCCCTCATCCGATTCTGGGTCCTGCAGGTCATCTTTGTCTCGGCGCCCTCGCTGGTCTACATGGGCCATGCCCTCTACTGCATCCGATCGCTTGAGAAGGAGCGGCACCGCAGGAAGGCCCAGCTGAAGGAGGACCTGGACGAGTTTGAGCTGGATTCGGAGGAACATAGGCGTCTGGAGAGGGAGCTGAGGAAGCTGGACGAGCAGAAGAGGGTGAAGAAGGCTCCTCTCAGAGGCTCTCTGCTGAGAACCTACATCATCCATATCCTAACACGCTCTATGGTGGAGGTGTGCTTCATCCTGGGCCAGTATGTACTCTATGGTGTCCAACTGGAGCCCCTCTATAGGTGCGAGAGGCTGCCGTGCCCTAACAGCGTGGACTGTTACATCTCCAGGCCCACGGAGAAGACCATCTTCATGGTCTTCATGATCGCCATTGCTGGTGTGTCACTTTTCCTCAACCTTCTGGAAATATCCCACCTGGGCATCAGGAAAATCAAACAGACACTGTTTGGAGAGAGGTACACGGAGGAGGACAGTTTTATTTACAGGTCCAAGAAGAAGGCGTCTTTACCGCACCTGTGTGTGACGAGTAATGCGTCGCCTCACAACGGGCCCCTGACTCAGACCTTCAAAGTGATTCCAGAGGCCGACATGAAGCCTCCTTACTACAACAGTGGGCTCAAAGCCAACCACGACACCACGAGACACAACAGCCTGGCCTATGTGGGACACACTCAGACCAACTATATCTGTCCCCAACCCAGGATGCCACCAAGGTCTGGCCAGAACTGTGCAGCCCCTCAAACCCATGAGGGTCAAGAGGTCCACATGGCTATGGTGGACCACCATCCAGCCTGGGCTTCTGCTGGAACCATGGTAGAGGGGAGTGTAACAGGCCTCCTCGGGGACCCTTGTGAGGGAGAACAGACTCACCCCAGCCACCTGGAGGCTCTGCTGTCCGCTAGCACCTTTAGGCCCAGCGCCATCAGAGACCTGGACGAGGACAATCGAAGGGAGTCGATGGCGAGCGAGGGCCTGATCCACAACCCGAGGAAGACCAGCTTCATGATCAGGCCTCCGTCCGAGAGCCTGTCCTCCATCAGTGGCTCCACCAGCCAGTCCTTACATTCCTCAGAGGAGTCCGATGAGCTGGGCTCCCTGCAGGGGGACATGCCCATGATGCCGCCTGCCGGAGGCCGGAGGATGTCAATGGCAAGTAAAGAGCAGAGTGTCTCGTGTCTCATTTAACAGTAGTCCAAAACATCAGAAGAGAAGTTCTACAGAGCAGAGGGCTTCTGGTTTTCTGCTCATGCCCCACCAGGGTTTTATCCACCATTTCTGTGTTGAGTATAACAGTTGTTACCAGCTGATAGGGCTGCACAGTTATTCAAATTGTATCAAAATTGCAATATGGTCTAGTGGAATATTGAAATGGCAGGAAACACAATATTTGTTAAAGGGTAAATATGTGTCAACACTTTTGAATGGAGTGTTGTAAAGCTGAAGACAGATCCCACCCTATACATTGTATCCCACAGAAAAAGATTTGTTTAGTATAGATCCTTTAAAAAAAAAAACACCATAATAATTTGATATATTTTTCAATGATATTGAGAACTAGGATTAAAGAATACTGAATATCATGAATCATATCGCAATTGCAATATCGGTCAGACTAACTGAAGTTATTTGTGCAGCCCTACCAGCTGATATTGTATAATCAAAGAAGCAAAAGGGAGAAAAAAGACCAGGAACATGACTCACTGGTAGAGTTATGAGGTTGAGCCAACACATCTGGGGCGAGAACAATAAACATAAACAGTCATAGGTTAAAGGAGAAAGTGTTTAGAGAGAGCAGAAGAGGTGTAGAGGTGCTCTCTGCTGATCTGGATGAAGCCCAGTAGTTACAGACATCAGGAATCAGAAATAAAATAAGTATTACTACATCACATAGATACATAAACAATGATATCAATTATAAGAGGTGATTAAATACATGTACAAATAAAATGAATGTGAATGTGACACAACATATCTCCATGTATTTTACGAACAATTCAGTTGAACGTAATGTTCTCTTGTCTAACTGTGTTCATATGTTAACGAAACATTCATGTTCTGTTGATCTGTTCAAACACTCCACCATCACCAGCTACACCCTGTGTTCTACGTCCTGCTGCTCCAGTCTGAACCTGTCCTCTTGTCCTTTCAGAGCATGTTTCTGGATATCTCCTCTATCATGAAGAAGTGAAGCGTGGAGCCTCACATCATGGCGTCACAGCTGTGTTCCGCAAACTTTATCAGTGGTCCAGCCGTCAGCATGGAGTCATGATGGGGACAAAGCCAGTGGAGTCAGCCATGATGGGACAGCGGACTCAGCGCCGTAGGAACACCATATTTGGAATGGAAGCACCTTAGAAAGTCTACTTGTTGGTAGTAAAAGGACAGGATTGTGTTTATTTCTAATGTGTTCTAATGTGGACATCTTAATGGCTGATCATGGAGCAAACTCCTCAGAGGATCTACTAACTTGTGTAACATGGACGTTATGATCTTTAAATACTTTTTCTAACACTTGATTAGAGTCATGTGTATCTGTGTATAGTCATTTATATACGGTCATTTCATGAGAGATGATGATGCTTTATATTGTATTCACATTAAATGCTTCTTAACAAAACAGCGGTCACTGTGTGAGCAGACATTGAACACCACACCGGAGAATTCTCATGCTTTTTGTTTTATTTCTCAAGAAAAAATGCCTAGACAAAATGCTGTTTTTTCTCTTTAAAACCCTTTTCATATCAAATTAACAAAACATGACATGTTGCACAATATTTACAAATAAATCTAAACAAAACACAACTCATTTTGAACATTCAAAGATAAAAAAGGAAATGAAAAATGCTCAATCTGCAAATAACAGTCATGTTGTAGGTACAGGTAAAAATAAGAACACGTAAAAAATGGCTCACCAAAAATCTACAAATACAATGAAGTAACCACTGTAAAAAGTTAGAAACAACGCCACAGAAACTGTCAACACGACTATCATACAGTCCGTACCCATAAAAAGAGGTATGCTGAAATATCCAGGTAGATAAGTGCTTAGTCTGTTCTACAGAGGTTTAAGAAAACCTCAAAAATCACAATCTGAGATGTAAGTGGCCCCGATTCTGTAAACAGATTGGATTAAATAAGTACTTCCTTTAGTCTGCCACTATGTGTTGTGATTAAAGAAAGCATTTGATTCCAAAATAGTTAAAGGAAATGTCTTCCCTGAAAACCACTGCTCATGGTTTAAATAAATAACTGTGCCAAGATAAGAGCTGCGTTCAAAGACGTATGGAAGCTGGACACTTAAGATAAATGCTAATATAACTGTTACATTGCCTGTTCAGAGTAGCAGTCACAAGTTAGTGGACATGAGTTATATGAAGTCATAGAGATACTGTGTAAACCAGGGGTTCTACATCACCTACCACACCTTCACTATGGCAACCATGAATGTATAGAGTAGTCCAGGGACAACTTAAGTAAATTGGATTTCTACATTGGATTTTGGAATATTGCAGAAAATAAGATCTGTGGCCCTGCAGATATTAACACCACTTTATGATTTTTGAAGCGTCAACGCAATCGGCAGAAGTAAAAAGCTAACGTTAGGATATAAATAAACTACAACACAGTCACATGACTTAACACCACCACCGCTAAGTTAAAGGCGGCTAATGTTTGGCTTAATGACGTTTAGCAGTCTCATTTGGTCACTTGTTAGCAACCGCTGCTAACATAGAAGCTACCGTCACAAGTAGGCTATTTACTGACATATTTTATGTTGTAGAACAAAATGTGAACATCTCTTTAGCAAGTGTTGGTCACAGACCTTATTTCAGGCATTTACCAAAAACATATTCAAAAAACTTCAAGACGAGGGAACCATAAGTGCTAAAATGCTAACTGATTTCCGCATTGTAGGACATTTCGTTCAGGTTCAATCCTTGCCTGTGTTAGCTAATCTGGTAAATGTAACAGCTGTCACTGCTGTCATGTTTCATTTTGTGGCATGCTAATGCAGTTTTAAGTGCAAATTGATCGTAAACTTCAGCATTGCATTACTGCACAATAACAAAGTCTACGATGGATTATCCATAACTTCACTTAACCTTTGTACCATAGTGAAGTGTGGTTAAAACCCCATCAGAAAATTAATTACAGACAAAGTGTGTGCTTATTGGTTGGCAGTAAGATCACATTTGGAATTTATAGTCAACAGGGTAGACCGAAAAAGAAAAAAAAGAAGCACTGGTATGCTCAGTATTCATATTTTACATCTTTGAAGTGCTGCCTTCTATTTGTTCAATAATAATAAAATAATACATTTAAGGGATATTCCTTTGTGACACATTAAAGTGACCCTTAGTGGTCAATATTAAATCTTATGTCAGAAAAAATCATATGAAAATATTCAGAAATATATAATGCAGTCATGAAATCCAGAACCTAGCTGATTATAATGAAGTGGCATTTTCTTTTTATTATTATACGACAATATATTATAGTTAATTTTACATCTAGCAGTTTTGATTTTAAGATTATTCATTGCTCAAAATGTTGTTTACATTTGTGTAATTATTTCTCATGGCTATATTACATATTCTGTCTATATTCATATTGATAGATGTTTTATTTATTGTATTTATATTCACTTTTTGTCACAAAACGGGGCTGATTACTTATTACTCTGCATGACTGGAATGCTTATGAATATTAAAGGAAAAAGGAAAAATAAAATGATCACAAGGTTTGACTTCCTGTTAAAAAAGAAAGCTTACAAATGAATAAATAGGGACTGGACTGTTGCGATGCAGTTTCCATGGAATCAAATCATCTGTTCCCTCGTGATAGTTTGGCCTCTTTAACCTCTAAGGCAAAACATTGTAGCTGCACTGTCAGATGCTTCTTTCTCTCACAACACTATTCAATGATGTCAATTTAAGCAAGCTTAATTCCCAGGTCTTATATATCTTTACAAAACAAAAAGGTCATACACAAAATTGTAAACATACTCACACCTCTTGTAAGTTAAAATATTAAACTTAACTAAGAACATGTGAGACTTGTAAATAAAGACTTATTTTCATGAAGAATAAAAAAATGAACAACCATTAACAAATCAACTCTAAGAAAGGGAAGCAACCTACATTTACATCTAAGCAATTTCCTCTACACCCGAACCCCCACCCCCCCAACATCAAGAGTCCAAATAAATAAAGTTCACATTGAGGAATCAAATAAAAATGTGAGCAGTGTTCTTCAGTGTACTCTGAGCAACAGCTCATTGTGGGGCTATCATTGGCTGCAGGGAAACCTTCCTCTGAAGGCAGATTGACTTTTCTAATCTGTTAGAGCTGCCATTCTGAGTAACGTAGTTTAGTTCTATTTTTCAAATACAATATTTTACTTATTTTTTAAACTAGGAGTATGGCATCATGGAAATAACAGCTCTTATTTTGAAGGGCCAATAATGAGTGTCTGGTGTACGGAGAAGGATTAAGGCCACATGTGAAATAAATATTGAGTATTTTATGTTTTATTTGGAGATTAAAGTCAGAATTTTCGAAAAAATGTGTAATGAAATCTTTTATTTAATATGATAATTCTGACTTTAACGTGACATTTCTAATAATTCAAAAAATTGTTCTCATAATTTTGATCTTATTCTTAAAATGTTGGCATTATTTCTCAGAGTTCAAAAATTAATCTCAGAACTATGGCTTTAAATAAAAAAATCTGACTATTTTCCTATAATTCCAACGATACTCTCAAAATCTATTTTGGTCAGAACTCAATACACGTTGGCCTAAACCTCCTCCGTACTGGTGCAGTGAAATATAACCAGATTGTACTTTGACCTGCTGAAAGTGGTTTCACTGACCCCGCTGCACCAGCCAAAACCCCCCCCCCCCACTGAGAGCACTCCCCCGGCCACGTGCCCCACCATCGACGTTTCACCGCTGATGAATTTGGCGTCTCCCTAAATCAATACCGTGCCAGTGTGTTTGTTTGGAGCTCTGAGCCTCACACTCCATGAGGGACACTGATTGGTCAGTGGGAATTGATCATGTTGCTCTGTGTTTGAACAGATTCACATATGATGTGTGGGTCTGAAGTGTAGGTGTGTTACACCGACACACTGAACCAAATACTTTCATTAGGGGTATTTGTCTTATGTACAATACAAGAACAGTGCAGCTAAATACATCATTACCGTAAGTACAGACACTACATTCTACTTTAAGACAATAAATAAACAAAGAGAGCACTTATGATCCGTCCAGCTGCTGTTCAAAGACCACACCAGGGTGTCCTTTACATTTAGACCACTTCCATTTCCACAGCATATCTGTGTTCTCTCCTTACAAACTTTGAAATATGTTCTGTTTTCCAGGGAGCTAATGTTAGCTATATTTCACTTGACCTAATAAATATAATAGCAGTAAAGAAGAAGTTGCTTGAGAAAATAAATCCTTACATTGAATATCATGTCTGTTTATATTTTAAGGATTTCTTTTCATTCATTGGTCATTTTAGTTAAGTGTACCAATGTGTAAACATTTCAACCTTTTTAAAAGTTTGAGATCATTTTAATTTAGCACTTCCTGTCATTATATTGTAAAGAATGGAGGAACCAGGACTAAATACATTTGTTTTATTCTTTATATTTGTTTCATTGTATGCCTGGCTGTAATTTAAAACTACATTATGTCTGTTTTGGTCATTAAAAGTGATGTTACTACTTAAGTCAAATGAAAATAAATGGTACCATTTGGACTGTGTGAAAATGATTTGGAAACCATGAAGCTGCAAAGTGAAGCGTTTGAAACCGCGTATTTAACTTTGACTAGAACCAACGCAGAAGTAAATGAATGATCTAACAAGCTCAAGCTATTTTCAACATTCCTGCATGTTGACTGAGCATAATTGAAATAAATCATCTATGCTCAACCCTAACCCTAGCTGAGGAACACAGGAGCATGCTATGGAAAAGTCAGTGTAAATGTAGTCAGAAACGGTGTGGTCCTTTAATCTATCCGGACCCTCCTTTAGCGGCTGTCTCCTCCTGGAGGGGGGGGGCAGTGCTTTGTAATGTATTTCTGTCTCTTAGCGCACGTATGAAAGAAGGCAGAAGAGAACTGTGTAAAAACGTCCATCTGAGAAGTCCATGTGAAATTTGACCAAAGAAAGTTTGCATAATGAGAGTCATCTGACCGCGTCATCCAATGAAAATTGTACAAATACACACCTTTGGTAACATTTTACTTTAAAGTCCTGTAACCCTCAACAGTTAAAACACATGTTTATATGTACCAAAGTAAGTATGAAGCGTTGACAGGACTGTAAAGTAAAGTGCGTGTTTACAGGGACATTAGTGAACATTCTGAGGAATTCCTGAGTTTAACCTCCCATGATGCACCAGGGAGGGAGGGAAGCAGACAGGAAGTGGAGTTGGGATGAGACAGAGAGACAGGAAGCTGCCAGTCCACATACACCTGTTGGACAGTATTGCTGATAAGACAACGATGTGTCATCCATTACAAAACAAAAAATCAAGGTAAAGACAGTGTGAGACTCTAGGTCTGCTCCTCTGTTGTACATTTCTCAGTCATTTCCTGACAGAAGTCCACTGTTACCGTGGGGCTACATACTCCCTCATTGGGCCCCAGCAGCAGGGGACACTCGGGGCTCCGCCTCCCCTCCCGCCCCCCCTCACCGAGACACGCGGCGTTACTTTGTCTGGACGCAGGAGAGCGGGGCCGGGAGGAGCCCCCGTGGTCAGAAGGCGATGCTGGGCTGGAGGTGAGGTCGATGCTGGCGTGGGGGGGGGGCTGCGTGCCCTGCACCTCCCTGCACACCTGCTGCGAGAGGAAGGACAGGTTCTGCCACAGCTCCGACATACACACCTTCAGCTGGTTCCGCTCGCTCAGCAGCTTGTCCTTCTCATTCACCTGAGAGACACAGGAGCAGCAGGTCAGCAGGACAGCAGGGCCAATCAGAGTCTGACATTCAGTTCCATTCCATTTCTGTACATTAACCTGATGCTTATATCCACAGCGACTTACAACCATTCAACCATGAGGATATGACCTCAAAACATTTTATATATTGTCACCCAGTGTGTCCTCACCATTAAACCACAGCATCAGTTTTGTGTTCAAATACAGTCTGTCAGGGTGTGTTCGGATCAACATTACCACGGTGTGATTAGAACACTGATGAACCGACGTAATGTCAAGTCATCTGGATATATGCATGTCACATGCATCTGTTAGATTATAGTTTTATATGAACAAATTATGTCTGCTGTTTACCTCCAGATTGTCGTGACAAAAGATACAATCTGTCTCACCATTGTAATGTCATTTTCGTAGTATATTTAGTATATATAAAAATATATTCCAACATTAGTCTTAATACATACATATATTTTTTTTTGGGCAACCAGCGCCTTTATTGGAGTGTCAGTGTAAAAAGGGGGAGACAGAGGAGATGTCACGCAGCAAATTGTCCGATGCTGGATTCGAACCCCGGTCCTACGCATCTGAACCAAGCCCCAGTACATGGGGCCATCTTAATACATATTTTGATATCAGAAGGTCCTTTATTATGGTAGGAAGCCCTACGTCACACCAGGCAGACCAGCTGTGAAGTCCATTTTATCTTTAGGTGACACCTCTGTTTTGAGTGTAAAATGATGGCATATAATGTGACTGCAAACTAGTTTTCGCTTGAATTGTTGGTCTTTTGTTTCTCCTTGGCCAAGCCTTTCAATACACCTTCAGTATTCTAAGACATCAGCAGCCTCTTTGTGTTTTTGTGTATTATTGCTCAAAAAATAACAACCAGAACCTTAAACAGTAATGTTGTTGTGTTCTTTAAAAGCAGGCCTGTTTGCGGTCTGAATGCTTGCTTAATATTGAACAGGCGACCTCTAGTGTCTGTGTGAGGTATGACACTCATCAGTCACAGGCAAAGGCAGAACTAATGAGACCTGTTATCATCTTCATCACTCCACAGGGAGGGCTGAGGGCACAGCTCTGACACAGAGACCACTGTTTGTCTTCCCTGTCTGATACCTCATTGATCCCTTTCTCCCACAAGTAAAGTGTATGGTTCTTCTTGTAACCATAACAACAAAGGATCCCTTACCTTAGCAATTAGTTGTAGTTTGATAAGTTTTCATGCATACCTAGTCTCAACAAAGTGTGTGTGTGCATGTGTGTGTGTGTGTGTGTGTGTGTGTGTGTGTGTGTGTGTGTGTGTGTGTGTGTGTGTGTGTGTATGTGTGTGTGTGTGTGTGTGTGTGTGTGTGTGTGTGTGTGTGTGTGTGTGTGTGTGTGTGTGTGTGTGTGTGTGTGTGTGTGTGTAGACCGTACCAGTTTGCGGATCTCTCCCTCCAGGTTCTGGATGCAGTCCAGCTTCCTCTTGCGGCAGCGCTGCGCGGCGATGCGGTTCTTGCTGCGGCGGCGGATGTCGTGGATGAACTCCAGCTGCTCTGAAGTCAGCTTGTGCATCTTGATGAGGATCTGGAAGTCGTTGCGAGGCAGGTGTGTGATCTGGTCCACAGGGAAGGGCAGCTTCACCTGATGAAAGGACCACAGATGTTGATTTCATTTTAGATGATTTTTCTTTATCTCAATCAATATAGTTTATTTGCATACTCCATACGAAGGTTATAGGATGACAATTGAGCCAACATCTGAGTCATCTGGAATCAATGTTGTGGTTGAACATTAATACACCTTATGATCGACAGGGTGGATTTGATGGCCTTTTTTGCCCTGGGTTTTGTCTCGCAGGCTACATACAAGCTGCACTGTCACATCTTCAGCCAGGTAGTAACACAATAAGACAGCACACATTACACTTAGCCCTGTATGTACATTTGAAATGAGGAAAAGTGTGCATCAAGTGTTGGTCTGTGTATCCCACAATTCAATGCGGTCTTCTGCTCAATTCCTGCCTAACTGTAGGCTTGAAAGCCGATTTAAGAACTGAAAGTAAACAACAGAAATTAGGAAGTTCTTAACCTGTTGGACTGATGGGAAATATTATTATTTATTTCTGCAAAGAGATGAATTAATAAATACTATTCCACATGCCTGCAGTCTTAATGTGGCAGGCTCCAAAAATGCATCACACCAGTAGGCGCTAGAATAGTGTTGGCATGGGGAAGAGCTTGTGGTGTTTGTATGTATGTATTGTTTGTATGCAGGCTGCCTACAGACGTGATGCATACTCCTGGGTTGACTACAAAAATGTGTCATCACTGCACCACTCTATAGCACAGTTGAACATTAGTCGCAGATGGTGCTTTTGGTGGCAAAGAACCACAATACATTATCATGTATGTCATTTTAAATACAGTTGTTTGATCGATAATCAACAGTGAAGGAAGTGATATAATAAAGAACATTAATTATTTTACACCACCGTATTTAAAACACAATAACTAGTTGCATAATATATTGTGCTGGAGTGGTATAAATGTCTCTGCTATAAAATGCAGAAAGAATAAGAGGCATTATACATGATGTAATACATTTAAATACATATTCATAGTTTATAACTCACACTTGCTTCAGTAATAACAAACCCATAAAGCCAGTAGTCATTCTGCTGCATAATCAGTTAGGATTTTGATAATTAAAGTATATTTATGTAAAATGTATTTTCTTTTACTGAAGTAGGATTTTCAATGCAGGGTCTCTCATTGTGTCAAGCATCTACAAACATCAGCTGGCACTCAGTCCTGAGAGCAGCTTCATGGAGTCAGTGTGCTGCAGAGCTCACTAGGGCCCAATCCCAAACCACGCCCTACACCCTACCCCTACACACTACCCCTCCGTGACGGAGTGAACTCCGTGGAGTGACACTCACAGCTCAACGAGGCTTCCTCCTGTCAGATGGAGGGAGTAAATACAGCGGCAAGCTTTGGGACGGCCTCCCCTCTCTCCGGCAGAAACAGGAAATGCCGTAACTGTATGTAACAACGGTTTCAAATCAGCATCTCTTAGACAAAAAAATAAAATTAATAACTCAAATAAAACTCATCTTTAATTGTGTTACTTTTTTGTAAATATCTTTTAGTTTTAAACCTGATGTTTATAAGCTTCTTAGTTTTTGCAACAGTCTGTAAATATACACAACTTTATAATAAAATGCACACATTTACCTTTTTCTAGACTAAACACAGGTATGATCCTCAGTTAAAACATATGAGGTTATCATGAGGTTGTTAACATCGCAGTTTATCAGTGGATGTTTGATGGAACTGTTTGTAAACAGCGTGTTTCCTGACGGACACACACAGCGTGACTCAGGTAGAGACCGGTCTCCAGTCAGCACCGCTGCAGACTCGGGGTGTTTCTCAATGTCGAGTAAAGCTGCTTCAGAGCCACTATTTCAAGCATTCTACGTCATCGAGTGCCGCCGAAGTACTGTTCCAATCTCCAGTATATTTGGAAATCTACCGAGCCCGGCGTACTCCGTTTGGAGAAATATCGAGTCTGCACATGAGTAGACTTCGCGGTCTTAAAATCCCCACAATGCTTTGCGCACGGACCAATTTCCACAAATCTGTGGTGGAAGATGTAAGGCGGGGCCTCTCATATGACGCACACCTGCACACTTGCTAGCGTGTTCCACCCTTTGTTTTCCGAATGCCAGGAAGTATTCTTGACTCGCTTCTGAAGCAAGATGCTCGGCAGACATGTGCTACCAAGCAAGCGTACTCGCGATTGAGAAACACCCACCGTGTTTGAGGGCTTGATAGCCCACTCCCCCTCCACACCGCTCCACACTCGTTGGTTTGGAACAGCACTTAATGTGGCGGACCCTCCGCGCGAACGGAGGGGTAGTGTGTAGGGGGTGGATTGGAATTGGGCCACAGTGTCAGTGTGCTGCAGAGCTCACTAGGTGTCAGTGTGCTGCAGCTTACTGACCCAGCCGCTCTGACACAAAGAGAGAGGAGCTCTTTGTTTCACACACATTCTGCTCCTCACTCTGAACTGATTACAAATGTATGAGCATTTTCTCATTATCTTATTTAAAGTGAAGATAAATGAATAGTCTGTGTTTGCACCATGTAACATCTCAATGTGATTCATCAGAACAGTCTGACAGTGTGTGTGTGTGTGTGTGTGTGTGTGTGTGTGTGTGTGTGTGTGTGTGTGTGTGTGTGTGTGTGTGTGTGTGTGTGTGTGTGTGTGTGTGTGTGTGTGTGTGTGTGTGTGTGTGTGTGTGTGTGTGTGTGTGTGTGTGTGTGTGCGCAGCCTGTCCTGTACTATATAGACATCTATATATAGCTCAGGGACTCTCAGCAGACACATAATAAGGTTGGAATGACAAAATGAGCCTTCGACGGTCGTAAATCCCCTCAACAATCCCTCTCTTTCTCTCTGCTGTACAATGGAATACACTTCCATTCTTTTTAACTATTTCATAGATTGATGAAGGAATGAGTCCTAAAACCCAGAAATGAGTTTGCCTTTACAACTTCCTATTCCATTGTCTCTAAGTCAACGCTTTTTTAATATCTTTTTGGTTGGAACACCAAACTTAGGCCTGTGGTTAACACAAGCTGAAGAGACCTGCACGTGTTGTTCTACGTACGACATAACATATGTCAGTAAATACTCCACTCGTGAATGTCTGAAGCTTTTTTCTGGGTCATAACATTTGTTTCTAACAATTGACTAAATGAGACTATTAAACATCCTCACTCCGAACATTAGCCACCTTTAGCTTAGCGGTGGTGACATGAAATCATGAGGTGATGTAGTTTGTTTATAACCTAAGCTTCTTACTTATGTCGATGCATTGACACAACATTATAAAGTGTTGTTAATATGTGGAGATGATCCTGCTGAAAAGAACTATGTATCACAAACCTGCATTTGCCAAAGATCTCATTTTCTGCAATATTCAGAAATGTAATTGAAAAATCGCATTTCATTTTCTAATGGAACCCTTGATTTGCTAACTTTCATTAACTCTGTCTTTACTTCCCAGATATACACCAAGACCCCAGGAAGAGCACCAATCTGTTTGGTTTCCAGTGCTTTGAACAGAGGTGAGTCTTTTGAATTTAAATGATTTAAGATGTGTCGAAAGAAGTTGTCTCTGGTTGAGGACAACAGAATAAGATCATCTGCATGGAGCAGGTATTCAGTCTCTGCTCAGCAAGTTCATTTAAATACAGGTTGAATTAGGAATCTGTCATTTGTATTTAAATTGTAGTTTTCCTATCTAATTACTCAGGTAGATGTTAAAGGATCAGTAAAATATTTGATTAGAAATATTGAAGAATAACACCCTAAATAGTTAAATTATGAGGAAAAAAACAATTGGCCTAATTGGAGAGGGCAGATCTGGGGTCAGGAGTAACAGCTGGTGGAAAGGGGCACCTTCCACCTGCCTACAGGGCACCCTTGGTGTGTGTGTGTGTGTGTGTGTGTGTGTGTGTGTGTGTGTGTGTGTGTGTGTGTGTGTGTGTGTGTGTGTGTGTGTGTGTGTGTGTGTGTGTGTGTGTGTGTGTGTGTGTGTGTGTGTGTGTGTGTGTGTGTGTGTGTGCTCCAAGATAAGTAGGTCAGGGCAAAAAAGTGGGACAGACCCCACACATGCAGGAGTAATATATGATGTGGGTACACACACACACACACACACACACACACACACACACACACACACACACACACACACACACACACACACACACACACACACACACACACACACACACACACACACACACACACACACACACACACACACACACACACTACACATTGTTTTTATTAGGCACATTGAGCTAAACCCAATCCATTCTAATACAACATTCTTGCAATACATCCTCACCTCATAAATGTTAGAAAGTTCATAGTTTTAAAAATTGTTTGGGAAAGGTATTAAGGTGTCAACCTGTACGATCAACTAGAGACCATCTTGCAATAGGACACGTTGTGAAATCCATCAATAGTTGGATTCCATCACATGATGACCAAAAGTTCAAACATAGTGAAGATATGTAGGTCTTTATGCCTGGTTGTATTTGGTGCATAGTAATCTAACTCCTTGACGTTCTAATATAAGGAGGCTGACAGAAGCCAACCTGCTTCTTGAGCGACCGTCACACCATGAACACCAACAGTGGATAGGGTTTGTTGAAGATATCAGAACATTAAAGGCTTCTCTCCACAGTAGAGTACACATTATTTGGTGAGCAGCAGGTATAATACATGTAGTTAATCTGTCTGTCTGATCCCTGTAGGATGTATCCAAACGGCCCACCTCCAGTGTGTTCAGAATAGATAGTTTTCACTGACTCACCCAGAGCCCAGGCCACAACCACTCACATCTAATATAGTTAGAAGCCTGTGGTGTATGTATGTGTGAGTGTCTTATCATATTATGCATGTTCCAAGAAATCACTATGGCAACTTTTAACTCAAAGGAGTATGTGTTGGAAGTGTTTGTGTAATTTCTCCTGAGAGAAAAATGTCTAAGAATAGTCCCAGCTGTAAATCACACGGAGAATATGCTTGAAACTACTAGCACAGGAGTATGCACTGCTAAAATGGGG